AGCCGCTGTTGAAACTGATCAGTTTCAGCAGCGGCTGAATCTGGATGCCAGTTCCGACTTACATACAGATTCAACCTAAGAACAAACCTACAGTCCCTATCTTGTACGTAACCCGGGGACTACCTGTAGTTCAAACAACAATTGTGCTGAATAAATACAACCAGGGCAAATTATTGGTAAGAAGGGTGTAAAATTAGTGTCTTCACTGTTGAAACTGATCAGTTTCAGCAGCGGCTGAATCTGGATGCCAGTTCCGACTTACATACAGATTCAACCTAAGAACAAACCTACAGTCCCTATCTTGTACGTAACCCGGGGACTACCTGTAGTTCAAACAACAATTGTGCTGAATAAATACAACCAGGGCAAATTATTGGTAAGAAGGGTGTAAAATTAGTGTCTTCAACCACTGTGTCAATCCACATTTTTAATGAATTATAGGCATAGAATCAAATGGAGATTGTAATAGTGTAGGGGGCGGATCATCTCCATCATTTACTAAACCAAGCCAGATATGCACTCAGTTAATGAAGAGGTTGTGGGTTGTTTTTTGGCATTTGTTCTGGCTAAACATTAGAGGGGAAGGGACATTGAAGAAAAGAGTAGAACTGTCATGTTAAATGTAGGTGTTGATTGCCCCAATACTTTTAATGGGAGTACTTGTGCATAAAGTTATTTGTTCACATAAATGTTTGCAGGATTGGGCCTATCAATAATAAAGGCATTCTATTTTCTAAATATTTTGGGTTATTTAGTTAATTATATTGAATGGATAACTGTCATTCTCCTTCGAGAGGTGTCCTTGGGGGTGCTCCACATGAGGTGTAGAGTGTCTCAGCGCCTCTGGACGGAGTTTTCTTAGCAGTGCTTCAGCAGGCGGTGCTCATGCACACGAGCTCCCTGATTAGCTATGCACCGGTGTGGGCCCTGCCTCCCTCCAGTTCCTTTCTACCATCCCCAGCTGCGGATGGAACGCGGCCGTGCTCCTCTCTCCTTAGCTCACGTAGCTTCTTAGAGTAGTTAGTTCTTCGAGTGATTGCTCATGTGCATTCCAATATAGGTGTGTGCGCACAGCATGCATGCGCTGTCGGAAGTTTTTCCCTCAGCAGTACCCTAAGGGCCAGCAGGGTGCCCCCTGCGGTGGTGCCAGTATACCGGCCTATATATACCCCTACTGGACCCCTCACCCACTCAGTTTCTTCTTACCGCCATGACAGTCGTTGGAACAACCCTCAGCTCTTCAACATGATTGTTGTCTTCATTGTTCTTCTTCACTCTTTAGTTAATCTTCAGCTAAG